TTTGGGAAATGACCTGATCCGTTCATGGAAACCTGGCTCCTTAAAGTGCTCTAGAAGGACATCTTCGATTTCTGCATCAATATCCACCCGTTCTGGCGGACGAGCAGCACGGGAGACTTCAGCAATCCAACTGTTCCAGACAGAGGTAAAGTTGTTTTTCAGTTCTCTCTCACTAAGGCTCTTCCCTTTCAGAGTCATAGCCAGCTCCCTACTCCTTCTCAGGAGCTCATCTTCATATTCCAACTTCCTTGCATCCAGTTTCCTCTGCTCCTTCTGTAGCTCAATAAGATGCTCACATTTCTTTTTTGTTTCATGAAGAAGACTTGCTTTTAGTTCTTTCAGCTTCAGCTCTGTGCTTGATTTCCACTGGATCAGTATCTCACGGTCTTTGTCTTCCCTGAAATACTTTTCCACTTCTTTCTCAATGGCATCACTTGTCTCTTTCACCAGCCCTTCAAGGTGTTCTCTGGTGACATTCTGCAAGTCCCCATTCTGAATTTTGTTGTTCATTCTCATCTGTACATCTAAGAAGTGACTCCTCAGCCTCCAGGTCCACTGACTAAAGGCACTTTCCAGTTTCCTGTACGCAGCAATCTCCAGGGAATTCTTGAAGCTGAAAACAAAGTTTTCATTCAGCAAAGCATTCCAGAGACCACCGATACGATCTTTCAGACTCGAGAGCCTCAAAATGCTGCGCTGCGACTGCTGCTTGGCAGCCTGGAGGATTTTGCTCTTTAGTTGCTGGACGTTCCGGCTGTAGGTGGGGTTGGGCGGTGCCATTGGGGGGTTTCCTTCCCACAGGTGAGCAAAGTAGTGAATGTGGGTGTTCACATCAAAGCCAATGACGTCGCTGAAGGAGGAGACGTCACAGAATTCCTGCTGGGCAGCTACCCTGGTCATTTCATCCAGCTTTTCCTGCAAACGCCTTTGTCCTTCCATGTTCTGCTCCTTGGCAGTTGCTTCTCCCACGTTTTGGTGCACAAAGAGGCAGCTTGGGGAAAGATTGACTTTCTTCATCCTCAGGAAAGCCTGCACAGCGATCTGGAGAACATCTTGCATTTCTGATGGATTTTCTCCAAAGATATTGATCACAGTCAAGTTGCTGACACCAATGACAAATGTGGCCAGCTCATTGTCATGGTTCAGGGACTGTTTATTGGCCATCTCGATGGCACGAAGTCCCTCTGTGTCAACCACCAGCAGAAAGTCAAAGCCCAAGTCCTGCTGCAGCTCCTTGCCCAGTGGGATGAGCTGCATGAAGGCTCCACGGGTGCATCTCCCCGCGCTGACATTGAACTGCAGCCCAAACATGGCATTCAGCAGGGTGGACTTGCCTGTGCTCTGGATGCCGAGCACGGAGAGCACAAACACTCGTTTGTCCCCCAGCCTCTCAATTAGGCTGTCAAAGATTGCTCCCACCCAGCGCAAGGGCAGGTAAGAAGCGTCCCCATCCATCAGCTCCACAGGATACCCTGACACCATCAGCTCTGCTGCAATTTCAGGCAGTTTGGCAAATTTGTTTTCTTCGGACTTCATTAATTCCAGAGCTTCATAAATCTGCCCAACTTCTCTCAGAAAGTGCTCCAGGCCAATGGATGAATCGTTGATTTCATCAGAGATGGCATTCAAGCGACACAGTAATGGTGCATTCTCCTTAGGTTTTTTCTTGCTTTTCTTTCCTGAGAGGATTTCAGTCCATAACTTGTGATAGTCGATCCTCAGTTCTTCAAGGCGACCACAGGACAGCTCGTCCATAAACACTTTCATCCACTGCAGGAAATATTTCTTGTTATCTGCTGGCTGGGCCTGGAGAAAGCCAAGGAATGATTTCATCAGCTGATTGAGAGGGAAAGCTTGATCCAGTTGCTTTTTTCTTATTGCTTTCTTCTCATATTCAATTTGGCTGCGATGATGCTCAATGCTCTTGTTCCCCTTCTCCTGCAGGCGAGTGAGTTCTTTGTCCTTTTTGCACCACTGGTACCACAGTTTTCCTTGAAGAGGCAGCAGCTGGGATTTGATCTCAGACAGCTTCTCTCTCTTCAGAAGGTCCACCAGCTCCTTTGCCTTTGCTTTGGCTGTCACACACGCAGGTTGATCTGCATCCACCACAAATCCGTGCTGGCGAGCTTTGTCCGCGCAGGCTTCCAGGCTGAAACGTGGATTCGACCCTTCCAGGAGATCTCTGATCATTTTGGTCAGCTGGTCCATCAGTTCTGCTTCGTTTTTGTTCTTGATCCCTATTTTTATTTTTTTGCTGGATTGTCCAGTTGCAGTGTTCTCTTTTTCAGTGAGAAGACAAATCAAAGGCCTTTGTGACTGCCACAGGTCCTGCAGAAGCTTTTTCCCCCTGTTGTCCATGTGCTCCGAATCTGAAACAAGAACAACGTTGACAGCAGATATGTCCTGCAGGAACTGCAGCTGTGCTCCGTGCTCCCTGGCGTCTCCATGCAGGTTACAGAAAGCCACACAGCACTCAAAGGTGTCATCAGGGCTTCCCCGGGGGCAGTACCAGGCGATCTCCACCACCCCTTCCATCAGCAGCCGCTCTCTGGTGCTGCCTCTGCAGTGGCGGTGGAAGAAAGTGTCGTGTTTGCGTTTGCTCAGCAGAGCGTTCAGGAGCTGAGACTTGGAAGAGGAGGCCGAGCTGCCAATGCGGATGAAGGACACGATGGGTGTCTGTGCCTGGAAGATGAGTTTGTTGTTGTAACTCTTTGTTTGGGCCTGCTTTCCTGACTTCTCTGCCTCTTTCCAGCTCCTCTGGATTTGGCTGAGGGCGTAGAGCGGGAACTCGATGTGAGAAGTGCAGGGGTTGGGCAGCAGCAGAGGCAGCGCCAGTTGGCAGAAGGCCAGCTTGGTTGCAAGGGACTGTCTCAGGAAGTCATCAGCACAGTGGAAAATGGCCATCTGCAGGTCCATGGGGTGCACATGGCTGTCCCTGCTTGCACTTTCAGTGGCTGCTTCCTTCATATTATCAAGGAAGTTTTCAAAGGATTCTGAGTGTTGGTGCTTTTTCTCTGGTGTTTGTGGCATGGGTGCAGGTTCTGTGTTGTTGTCTTTCCAGCAAGTCAGGTACCTCACCTGGTAATCCACAGTTAACAGCTTTTGCAAGAAGTATAATGGCAGTTCCTTGTCCTTGCTGGGCTGGCTGTCCTGCAGAGATATCTTGCAGATGGTGCGGAAATCTCCCATTCCCATTTTTCTTGGATAGCGACTTTCGAGTCCAAGGCGCTTGAGCAACTGGAGGAACTCCTGGTTTGCAATGGCTTCTTTTGCTTTGGATTGGCTGCTGTCTGACTTGGATTGGCACTGACTGGGTGGCTCAGGTGTTGTAAAAGTGTCTTCCAGATCTGTGAGTATTTTTTGCATCCTGTGTTCATCCCATTCCTCATCCAAGCTCCCACTGATCAAGGAATGCAAGTCCCGTTCCAGCCTCTCCCAGTCTGTGTCTGCACTGTGCTTTTGGAGGAGGTTCTTTATCCGTGTGGACCACAAGCCTTTCATGTGATCTTCCATGAAAACTAAACGCTCCCTCTTCTGCTTAGGGGACAGCTTTTGACTTTCTGGTGTCACAGTCAGACCCATCAGCAGAAGGGAGGCCTCAGCTCTGTCGGCATCTTGCTCCTTCAGGTTCACATACTCCTCATGTGCCGCTTCCATTTCCTTGGCCATGTACTGAATTTCTGGGTGTCCAAGGAGGTGCTGAAAAGTGCTGCTTTCCACCTGGTACCCTGTGCTGGTGGCAATCAAGAGCACCAACAGTTCCATGTCCTTCTTGTCCCGTTCCTTGAGAGACTGGAGTATGGAATAAATGGCGAGGCTGCTGGTCAGGGTGGCTTCTATCTTTGCTTCATGAATGGCAGAAGCAGAGCTTCTTGGTGCGTAGGTGACAGCACAGATGTGCTCCTTCATTTGCTGCAGTGTTTTGATGAGGTCTTCAAGCTCAGAGATTTTGGGAGATCTGGGAAGCGAGTGCTCAGTCTGGAAGATCCACTGCATAATGAAGGAAGCCTCAGAGAAGTCCTTGACAGAGTAGATATGAGGATCCAGGAGGGTTTTCAACATTACCTTGATAGAAGTGGTGTTTTCTGGAGGTGACTCCTGGCAGCTCCGCACGGTGTTCACCAGGAAATCCTGCAGGGCTTTGTGTGACAGGCACACATTGATCCACACACTGTGGTTCCTGGTTTTTGCATTCAGATCATCTTTGAGCTCCATCAGCGTGAACAGCTTCCTTTCAACCATTGTCACCTCCCAGGCCTTCACAGTCTCCATGAAATCTCTGGCCTCTTGCACTGCACTGCCCAGTTCCTCTCCAAAAATGGTGCCATCACTCTCATTCGTCAGCGCTTTGTACGCATCCCTGAGGGCTCTGCTCATCTGAGCAACAGAGTTAAAATCCCCGCAGTGATTGCACAGGATGACGTCCCACACTGGGATCAGCTCAAAGCCGCGGTCGATCACGCACCACGTTGTGTTATCAGACACGAGCCCCATTTTCCACTGAGGAAGAGAAGTTGTGTCTGCTGGGCCCCCTGTGTTGACCACATAGAGCTGAATTGCTCTATAGGAACCCTCTGCAACTCTTCCCAGGACAGAATCCTGCGAGCTGGATTTGGATACATCCACAGTCCCTTCTACACTGGCCCGGATACCACCCCAGCTGCCCCCAACAAAGCTGTTCAGTGCTTCAGATGTTTGTCGCTTCATCTCTCCACGCTCCTCAGCTCGGAATCCTTCTGTGGATGCCTTCCACCAGAATATCCCCCCAAAGTGGAGGGGACCCTGGTTTATGTGAGACCCAAACTTGCTAAAGAAACTCTCACACATCTTCACAAACATGGGGTTGTCTTCCTTCTGAGTGACCCCCAAAATCTTTTCCATGTCTTGCAGCTCCCTCAGAGCTGCATCTGAGAGGCGAAGCTGATGCCTTTGGAAGTAGCAGGAGGCCAGGGGGATGTACTGGAACTTGGTGGTGCAGAAGTAGCTCTGCTCAGAGTGGGACTGGTGGGTGTCCTGTGTCTGCGAGGAGCTGCTGTGATCTACGCTCTGTCCCACATTAATCCCCCAGAACGCAAATTTGGCAGAAACGCTCATGCTGAACCCCAGCTGCTCCATGGACTTGGTGAAAGTGGATTCTTCTGCAGAAGAGGAGAACTCCCTCCTCTCAAGCAGCGATCCCTGCTCCGGACCGGCGAGCTGGAATCCCTCAGGCACCCTGAGGAGCTGCTCTCGTGTTGCCAGCACATCTCCAGTTCTGCTGCTTCTGTAGATGCCCTGCAGGGCCAGTCCCCCCGACGCCCGCCTCAGCACCTCGGTGTCAGGGATGTTCTCCCTCCTGCCTGCTGACACCTCCTGC